TCAGTGGTTCCCGAGATAATAATTTACCCACCAAAACTTTCACGGGATCGTTCGTGTTACCTGCGGGCAGGAGAAGGTGAGTTTAGAATTTCTGAGTCGCGTGTTGGCAAGGGACACGCTCACAAAATTTCAGCCTTCTAGCTTCCGTGGTTCCCGTAATAATAATTTTACCCGCCCAAACTTTTACGGCGCCGTGCGTGTTGCCCACGGGCACGGGGAGGCTGAATCTAAATTTGCGGTGTCACACGTGAGTGGGGAACTTTCCCCTAAATTTCAGCTTCCTAGCTTTTGTGGTTCCCGAGTTGAAAGTTGTGGACAAGTTGCTGCGGACACACACACAGACAACCCCGTGACAATGCGCGTTTTGTGCTGCTGTTATACAACACAAAACGCATAAAAAGTACAGAAAGCATTTCTGTCGACCAGAACTGGAAATGTAAATGTACAGAAGTTACCGAAGAAGGGAAGAACAATCACAGTGAAGCCAAAAAGTGCATCCTCATTAAGTTGGCAGTGAGGCCCATTTCTCCGAGTTATAATAACCGCTAAGTGCTGCGGTTTATCATGATGAAAGGGGAACACACTTCTGCAATGGCCTGCATGAGAAACAGACAAAAAGGTGAGCTGACAACTGCCTCCTGGAAGCATAAATCTAATATGTGCAGGGGCATGCACATATTGGATTTATGCTCCCAGAAGGCGGTTAAAATGCATTTAAATTCTTTTGTGGCCTAGCCGCCTTTAGTTTGAGAATTCAACTTTAAAATTGACACGGCTTGCCCATTTCTTTGTTTTTATAGCAGTGTTTCAGGTGAATGCTTGTGACAAATTCGGAAGTACAGCTTTAATCTGGGCGGCACGGAAAGGTTACAGACCTATAGTAGAGCTATTGTTGAATGCTGGAGCCGAGTTGGATGCAGTCGGAATGGTACTTCTTTCTCTCTGTTATCTTCGATTTTTTATTAAATTTGAATATTGTATAAGAAGAGCCGCTTCAGCTGTTTTTTACCAGCTGTGATGTGTTTGGCCCGTGAATTCTCACTGTGGTACAGCGTTGATAGGTTCAGTGCCTCTTTGTTGGGGATAAACGTGTAAAGTTTTAACTAATATATTGATTTTGACAGCGGGTTAGCGTCTTTCTCCTTCTTTTCGGTGCAGCCAACTCTACTAGATACCATTTCAATGCAGCTAATATTTGCACTTATGCGTCAAAAACGCATATTGCTGAGAGGTTGTCGGTGTATGTGTATATGTGCATGTGTCTCTATGTGTGTATTTGTGTGTGCGTGTGTGTTCGGATTTTTCTCGTTTACATTCAACTTAAAAAAAGCTGAAAATAAGCTGAAATTTTGCAGGGATGTTCTTAGCCCATGTGCGTTCCAAACATTTGACAATGAGCTTCACGTACAGCTGGGCCTTACCTACGGACGGAGGAGGGGGGGGGAGGGGGGAGAGGGAGAGGCTGAGGGGTCTTACCCAAAAAAATTGATACAAATTTTTTGGCGGTAAAGCGATTTCTGGAATCAAGCGAGATAGGAGGCTGAGATTTCACAGGGATGTTCCATTCTATTGTGTAATTAAAAATTTCAAATTCAGTTTTAACGCACACTTAGGTCACACCTACAAGCACGCTAAATTTGAGACTTCGTTGTTGGTGGCAAAGTGCCAATTCGAGAACTAAGTCGGTTAGAGCGTTCTCACTTTTTACGTGGATATTTGCTTCCCATACGCTACACGTAGGCGCAAAATCAGCTTTGACCCACGCCTGTATGGCGTATTCGAATACTTCAAAAATATTTGTGACAAAAAGCGAACTCGTCAACCATTTAATCTAGGAAGCTGAAATTTTACGACGATATTCTATACGCGACCGAAATATTTCGTATTCAACCTTAAGATCTCGCGTGCAACGCTGTTAGCATCCAGTTAACTCCTTAACCAGACTGGGCAGGAAGGATTATTTTTCTGAAGGTTTTTGCCATTCGTGTGTGGGCCGTCAGGCGTATGACGAGCTTCTGTCTAATCATGGGCCCTTTGTACAGGCGCATCAAATGTACAAATTGCAACACCGCAGTCATATCCCCAGTAGTACAGACGATCTCGTTGGTATCATGCAAAAAACCTATGGTTACACGGACAGGTCTAGCGCGTCGCCACCTGGCTTCTGCCTCCCATAGCAGAGAATTATTTTTATACCATCACACAGCGGTTTTACCTTATTTCTGTGGTAACGGAACGAGCAGACATCGAGAACAAACGAAAAAATCTCTACACAGAAGTGCCATCAAATCTGTTAAGTACTTATCAGCAAGTTAAGGTGCATAGCTTTCAAGTGAAAAGTGGAAGAGATCCTAGCAGAGTCGTTTTTGTTGAAGAAATCATATTTTAGGCGCGGTATTTGAGAAGCCCTTATCTTCCGGCGCGTATTAAGTGTATTCGGTAATCGGAGGGTCGAAAACTGTTTTGCTGCACAGCATAGCGGGCCAGATTTTCTCATTGAACAATGCACAGAGAGTAACGGCTATCCTTAGTCTTCCATCCGCTGGTTACCAGAAAGCATTCGTTAGCGTACGGTTGACTGCTTTTTTCTGAACTTTTCTTGATGAAGAGTGTGCAAAAGTTATTAGGAAAATGATTTTGCGCTGTTCCGCATATCGTTCGAAGTGCTTTTTTAACTGGATTGGCAAGGGGTGTGAACAGTCATATATGCACCCTTGGATCAAAGAAACTGGTACCGCTGAGCCTGGCTTGTGGGAGCATCCCAGTATTATCACCACCATGAATCCTCCTACCGTTTATCTGGGCGAACTTGATTACCGTTTGTTGTGCGTTATCAGTTATGCTACGGATTATGCCCGTCGTGGATTTAACAGCCAAGCGTATTCCTTCGCTCTGGCGGTCCTCCACTGAGAATCTCCACTGATTACGCAAGTAATGAAACAAATTGGAGTTTTTGAAGGACGAGCTTTTGGCTTCGACCTAGTCTGCCTAGCATGCGTTTCAGGTTGACTGCGCTATACGGCACAACAGTTCGATATCCATTATTCATTCTTTTGTTAATCATATGCGCTATTTTAGTATGGTGCCACTGCGCTAGTGCTGGCAACACGTGGCAATTTCATTGATACTGTTGAATTGCTGTTAACACGAGAGCCAAATGTTAATGTTACTGATCAGGCATCTTTTTATTCCCTTTTATTTAGAATTGAATTTTATCTAAAAATTTACACTTTTCTTTAGCATTCTTTTCTTGCAATTCTTGTTTTTTTTGACAGCAGCCAAGTGGATTTTTGAAACTCTAGAAGCTTATTTTGGATTCAGTTTTTTTGAAATTCTTTTTGGAGCTGTTGCTAACTTTCTGCGGTACTTCTTTTTTTTAGAATGGATTCTCTCCGCTTGGAATTGCTGCACGTGAAGGATATGCGGAAATTGCCTCTATGCTCGTTCAAGTTGGCGCATATGTTAATTCCGTTGACAGAGTAAGGATTTCAGAATGGTGTGTGATTAATATCGTTGATCTTTGCTGCTTCCTTTTTGAATGGAGCTTACCACTAATATTCCGCATCGAGCTCACCGCACGTAATGGAGAAAAACAGTAATTGAAATCTGCCACAGCACACACAAGTTCAAGATTCGATTTCCATCACTGGAAAAAAGGGTGTTTCTTAATTAACACTTTTTAGTTGGAGAAGCACTGTTTTGCAAAAAAAAAAAAAAGTGCGACAAAAATCAACAAAGAAAATTTTGTTTGTTTTTTCCTGTTTATTACGGAATAGAAGTTCTGTTATATAACACAGAGCGTTTTTATTTTTACAGTTTGGGAATTCGATTTTGGCAAGTGCCGTACGATCGGGAAATGTAGAAATCGTGAAAATGCTTCTTGACAGGCATGCAGATGTTAATGCGAAAGACTCGGTATATTTATAAGTTGCGGTGATTTAAAGGCTGCTTAACATCTGAACCTTCTCTAATGAAACTGATGTAAAATTCAATTACAGGAGAGCAGAACTGCGCTGCATTTGGCTATCGATAAAGCATTCATGGACATTGCAGTGGTTTTGCTGGAAAAGAAACCAAATTTGGAAATTAGAAATAAGGCAAGTGCCTTCAAAGGTTTGCTAACACTTTAGTGCACAATCTTCACCATTCAGCGCACAAAATCAGTGTGGCCTTACCTCTAGCCAGAATGGATGTTATGCAAAAGTGATTTTCCCAACGGTCAGATAGTCGCTGGACGATGAAGTTGTGCTTATTCGTTGCTTGACAACTGCTTTCGATTTTGCGCGAATGGTACTTTTTTGAGTGGATTTGTTCCAGCTCCTTAAGTTTAACATTATAGAGTGCCTGCTGCACTACAATAAGTTAAGATGACTTAAAAACTTCTCTAGTTATGTTCCATAGAACAGTGCCATCTTTGGCAGCAGTTTGCTCTCATTTTGAGTTCTGTTGTTTCAGTCTTTGCGGGATATTCAGATATACTTCTATAGAAAAATCTTTGCAGAGGGTTCGTCAGGGAGTCATAGGGACAGATTTAGAAGTGCTTTTTTCTCAGGCATGGTTGTTTACACAGATTTTATTACAGGATGGCGATACGCCATTGCTTCGTGCTGTGAAGAATCGTAACGCTGGTCTGTGCCAGTTATTGGTAAACTCTGGTGCAAAAATCTCAGCAACTGATAATACCGGTGACAACGCGCTACACTGGGCTTTACGAGTAAAGTCGCGCAAAATCACGCAGCTGCTTTTGTTAAACCCGTCCGACTCGCGACTGCTTTACAGGCCGAATAAGTTTGGCCAGACGCCCTATTCAATTGATCAGGAGAATCCGCAGCCAGTACTCTCACTTCTAAGCGGACCACAGCATGCCGAAGTGCAGGTGGAAGCGCGACTCGGCTACGATATCTACAGTGATGTATTAGCCGATATCCTCTGTGAACCAAATCTCATATTACCACTTACCATTGGTAATTTTTACATTTGAATTTTTATTCTGAGCAGTTTTCTGCATAACACTGTACTGGTGGTGTATGTCCTCCCAAATGGACGATTGTTTCTGCGATTTATCGGTTTAATTATGTATAATATGACTGGCTTGCAGTAGCTGTAACTCTGGGAGCCGCCGATAGTCTTGCCAATGGGTGGTTGTTTTTGGCTGTAGAGCTACAGCCTAGTATTACCCTCCGCGCATGGGGAAGAGGGAACCTTGAAATTTGAGATAAAATTTGTAATTTTTGTCTTTTATATTAGTTGCTCAAGCAGCTCATATTTGTTGTCTCTGAAAATCCCACGGATGGGGGCAGCGCTTGGATAGATGCTTAACGAACGTTTTTAATGTAAATTTTTCCGTCGTTTCGGCACCTCATTTCGCTGCTTCTACAGCGGTTTTGTTTTGCTAGGTGGAATTTATACATTCAGAAAGAAATTACCACGGTGTTTGGAACTGAAAGTGATTAAGTAGGAAGGGCAGTACAGGCCGTAACGGCCTTATAAGCAATGAAAAAAACTGTAAAGAGCCCACGGACAAGACTATAAACAACGGCCAATTCAGTGAGGGGTAAAGTCGGAAGACCAGTATGGGCAGTACGAGCTCTGTCAGCATCCTATCAATAGAGACTATGAACAGCCTGTCTGGAGGGTTACGATGATCAGCAATAAAATCGGTGTCG